TTTGCATTGAGAATGCAGGCACCGAAGATCAACTTGCCGATATATTCACCGAGCTATTGGATGAGAAAAGGTTTTGCAAGCTAAGGAATGAGTTGAACATATTGGATTTCTCAAATATGTGTTGATGCACCCCCCACTCATATGACATGTCTCTCCTTCGAGCAATCCAAGGTAAAAGTTGATTGGCATGGCATACATCCTTGCTAAGGACATGTTTAGTGCATCTAGACATCTTTCACATTTAATAGGCTCATTCATGAAAATCAAATAAATTTAATGATTATATGATACCACTATTGCTTCTATGCTTATTTTGATCTAGTGATAGCATATGACATGTTTGTGGGCTTGTAAACCTAGTGTTTAATCTAGAAAATGAGCTCTAAGTGTTTAACTCAACATGGTACAAGATAACCCTTATTTGGAGGTGTGAAGAAGCTTGTCCTTGGATCAAACCGAGTTAAATATCTTTGGCAAATGATCTAGATTGGACCAAATTTGGGAAATTGATCCTCACCCTATTGATTGACATTGATAAATCTCAACCTATCCACATTTTGAACCTTTGTGGTTATTGATGACAAAGGGGGAGAAAAACAAAGATATTAATGATATTAGTACTATGGGGGAGAAAAACAAAGATATTAGTGTACTAAGGTAGTGAAAAGACAACAAAAGGGGGAAATTTGATATAGGGGGAGAGATATGACAAAGAAAAAGGGATTAAGACATAGGGGGAGAGATATGATAAAGAAAAAGGGATCAATTAAAATCATGAGCACACAAGTAGGGGGAGCAAGCTCATGAACTTGTATGGTGCATTTGAATGTGCATTTCATATGTTTGCTTGCATGGCACAAGTTTTAAATTTCAATATCCATGCTTGTGTGGAGTATTCTAGTTGTAGGTTTGAATAATCAAATAAAAAACTAGCATGCATAGGTTATCTAGTGATTTCTTTTCCAAGTGGTATCGAGCTAACCATGGTGCTAAGGATGGTATATTGGTGCACTCCGATTGGTATCACGCTTTAAAGGTCCATCTTTTATACCTTAGCATCATTTGGTAGACATTGTCTCCTATATTTCCTATCTAAGCATATGTGCAAGCTACAATCCAAACTCTTAGCACATATGTAGGGGGAGAAATTGCTACCAATTAGAGTTCATGAAACTTGTCCATATCCTTTTACACATGGTAAATATGCTTGGGCAAGCAACATGGATTCAATAAAATTTCAATTCATATCTTTGTAAAAGGGTTGTCATCAATTACCAAAAAGGGAGAGATTGAAAGCTCTAGTTTGGTTTTGGTGAATTGATGAAACCCTAAGTGCTAACCTAGTTTATCAAAGTGTTCATGAGATAGGTAGCACATTCCAAGTGACGAAGCAAATGAAGATCATGACATGATGACGGTGATGCCATGGTGATGATCAAGGCTTGGACTTGAAAAGAAGAAAGAGAAAAACAAAAGGCTCAAGGCAAAGGTATAAGTGGTAGGAGCCATTTTGTTTTAGTGATCGAGACACTTAGAGAGTGTGATCACATTTAGGATCGATAGCCATACTATTAAGAGAGGTGAAACTCGTATCGAAATGTGGTTATCAAAGTGCCACTAGATGCTCTAACTCATTGCATATGCATTTAGGATCTAGTGGAGTGCTAACACCCTTGAAAACATTTTGTGAAAATATGCTAACACATGTGCACAAGGTGATACACTTGGTGGTTGGCACATTTGAGCAAGGGTCCTATGTCCGGTCATGATCCAACTAACGCGTTCGGTCGCAGCTGGAATTTTAATGGAAGTGACCGGACGCTGGGGTCCAGCGTCCGGTCGTGGCACTGTGCTACGTCCGGTCATCACTTGACCGTTGGGATCGGGCGCTCAGTATTTGAAGAGAGGGATGACGTGGCAGCCATCCATTGACCGGACGCTGGCTGGGTGCGTCCGGTCGATCTGACCAGAGCATTCGGTCACCCCGAACAGTGCCCAGTGAAGGGGTACAACGGCTCTATTTCGTTGGGACTTCTATTTAAGCCCCATGGTCGGCTCTAGCTCACACTCTTGGCCATTTGCATTGACATAGCAACCTTGTGAGCTTAGCCAAAGCCCTCCCACTCATCTCCATCATAGATTGATCATCTTTGTGAGATTGGGAGTGAATCCAAGTGCATTGCTTGAGTGTTTGCATCTAGAGGCACTTGGTGTTCGTGTTTCGCTACGGAATTTGTTTGTTACTCTTGGTGGTTGCCACCACCTAGACGGCTTGTCGCAGCGAGGATCGTCGAGTGGAGGTTGGTGATTGTCTCCAGCTTCGATCGTGGTGATTGTGAGGGGTTCTTGACCTTTTCCCGGTGGAGAGCCAAAAGGTACTCTAGTGAATTGCTCGTGGCTTGTGTGATCCTCATCTTGTGTTGGTTGTGCGGCACCCTATTGAGGGTTTGGCGTGTGATGCCAATTAGCGCGTGAACCTCTAAGTGAGTGAATCGTCACAACGAGGACTAGCTTGCCGGTAAGCAAGTGAACCTCGGTAAAAAATCATTGTATCATCATTTGATTCCGAGGTGATTGGTCTTCATTGGTTTTCATTCTTGTGATTGATTGGTTCATTCCTCGACTTGGCTGTATAACTATCTTGCTCTCTCTCTCTCTCTCTTTACATTACCGTAAACTAGTTATCAAGCTCTTTAGTGTAGCTAGTTGTGAGAGCTTGTTGGTCTGGTTAGTGTGGCTCTTTAGTTAGCATTTGAGAGCGCACTAACTTAGTATAGTGACATAGTTATTGTGTGGATAGAAACTACATAAACTAGAATTATGGTAGGTGGCTTGCATTTTTAGTAGACTAGCGCAACACTCGATTCGCCTCATAATTGTCTAACCGATTTGTTAAGTGTTGTTGTAGAAATTTTTAACAGGCTATTCACCCCCCCCTTCTAGCCATTAGGACCTTTCAATATGACATGGCGCTACTATGCTGGCTGTGGTGGTACTATAGCTCGATGGTGCTTCGTCAGCCGTCCCATGCAACGCGGTATCCGTCGTGGCCTTCGTCATTGTCTCCTGGTTCCCAGGGGCGTCGTACCCAGTTTAGGTAGCTGCCCTGGGTCATCGATCACTTGGTCGTCGCTGAGGAGCTAAGGGCCACGATCCCAATCATTAGGGTCGTGGCTCTCATCGGTCCGGGTGGCCTTTAAGTCAAGGCCCCTGTCGTGGATCCCATCCCGTAGTGGGTGAGATCGTTCATGTGTCTTGTCGGGCCGTATCTGGCTGGTGGTCCTCATGCTTGTCGTCACCATCTCGGGGCGGTGTTGTCTTGTCCGTACTTTGTGGCGTAGGGTTGGCATCTGACCGGATCGGGGTGACTGCTGTCCCCTTGGTCCTTGCGGGGTCAGTATGGCATGCTCACTTCTGTCAGAGCGGGCGCGCCTGGCGGGGCTCGACCTCTTCCATCCCTCCTAGGGGTCACGATGAGGGAGAGGTCATGTGTGAGCGTTGTGGGATCAAGGCTAGAGGAGGGGTCGTGGTTGACCTTAGCCTTGATGCATTCGGCTTAGTTGGGCCTCGGTCGTTCGGGCCTTCACTAACTAGTGAGTTGTGGGCCGCGTGGCCTGCTGACTAATCGATGCCCTGAGGCACCTTGGGGTTTCAACCCCGACAAGGTGCTAGTAGTTCATATACACCTTCAACTCACTATCCAACCACCTATTACCAGGTGGATCCAACCAACCCCCTGCTAAAAATTAGCTAGTAGGCTTTGTTTGGATGTATATGTATTTAACTCAATTCATGTGTGTTGGAATAATTTTGGGTGGAATTTAACACGTGTGTTGGAGTAGATTGGGGTGAAATTTAGTTTAAATTCCACCCCAAACAACTGCAACACATATGGATTGAGATGAATACATGTGCATCCAAAGAAGGACTTAGATGGATGGAGTGTAGAAAAAACACAGGAGTTCAATGAGAGAGTGATCAAAGAAAACTCAATCTCATGGTAAAAAATTCTCTAAAAACCCTTAGAGACAAGTCATTTTGTAGGAATTTCATAGAATTTGTAGGAACCCAATCCATTGTTCCAAGGTTTATAGAAAAATTTCCTATAGGATTTCAGACCTTTAGAATACCTCTGTTTTTTCTTTGTTGCAAAGGGGTCTAAAGATGAGCTCCATTTCTTTGACCTTATTATTATTGTTTCCTATGTTTTTTCTACATTGCTTACAAAGGTATCTTTCTAAAGTTTCTTTTATTCTAAAATCTCAAAGAATTTGAAGTGTTAGGACATATCATTCCTATACTTTTCTTATTCTCATGTTTTTAAACCATTTTTTCCCCAAAGAGGGCATATTTTTGGAGATTGCTGTAGCCTGTAACTATTATTTTTAGAGGAACTGTACATCTTTTTTAGAGGAGATTAATATAATTCTTGATCCAGAAAACCGTGCATTTATTTTTATCTTACCAAACTTTTCCTATTCATTTTTCCACTTGGTATGACTGGACCACGACAGCTCCAAAGGCTTTGCGTGCGGATGAGAGTTATGACAATTGTACCTTCAGAAAACCATGATCCACCAACCCAAAAAATAATCTGCTTGAGCTAACCCTGAAATTATTGAGCTGGATTGATATGCACTATGCAGATGCTCATCCGCTCATATGATTATTCTCTAAAAGCAACGCACATCCACTTATGAACAGACAACAGAGGATCTGGGTACTACTAGTAGCAGCAGGAGTTTGTGCAGCATGGGGCGTGGTAGGTTTGTGTGTATTCCAATTTCCATTGCGCATGTCTGAGAGCCCTATTTCATGTCCCATAGGTAGGTACAGTATTAACATGATATATACCGTCGAGTTCTGTCCATATTTTACCATTTTCTCCTCTTTTTCTCCCCGACGATTGAAGGCAAATCGATTCATATACAGCATCAAAAGTTCAGAACGTCCTTCGGATGCAGAAAAATTATGACCCGATCATGAACAGAATTGTCGGCTCAGTGGAACAGGGGCAGGATTCCCCATTGATGCAGGAACCCTTTGCCGGTGGTCACTTCCAGCACCAGGAGAGCCAGCACGGCCAGCATCGCAGCACGGCCATTCCAGGTCTCTGCGCTCTTCGTCCAGCCCCACTCCCACACGATCACCGGAGGGGGGAGCTCATCGCGCTTCGAGTCGTATGCTGCTAGCAGCTCCTCCACGCTCCCGAGGGGTACGAGAGACTGCAAATGCAAAACCACCCCACATCACTTCAAACTCGAGCAAATTGGGTTACAATAGAGCGGGTATGATGTGAGCTAAATGATGCCGCATCGTATCATTGAATTTGGAAATAATTTAACCTATTTCAGCTCACAGTGCCCTGTTCGCTTGGGCTTGTTTGGCTGATAAGCCATGGCTGAAAGTACTGTTGGCTGATTTGGTGTGAGAGAAAAATAATGTTCGTTGGCTGAAAAAGTACGGCTTATAAGCCAAACAAGCCCAAGCGAACAGGGTGAGCGTATTATTCACATCTCATATATTATTCATTCAAGAATAGCAGGATTCTTTCTTGAGATGGGCAAGTTGCAAGGCAATCTTGTAAGGTGCTGGACGTGTGATCCTGTCCAAATGCATGTCCTTTTTTTTGGGGGGTGGATGGGTGTTTTTTTTTTTTGGTGTGTGTGGGGGGAGGGGTGCAAAATGGCGGGTGCACTGTCATCAAACAGATGATTTTGTGGTATCTCTTTCTTTTATACACAGAAATACGCAACTTGTACCTATTCTTTTTTTCCCAGAAGAACAAACCAGCTTGTCCTAAAACTGTCCTCTTTTCATCTTAGTGCAACTATCCAACGAAGCTAGTCTTATTATGTGAGTATATGGTTAAATGCAATCTCAATGTGTTGGCCAATAACTTGGAAAAGCGGGTAAACTCAATCTTAGCTTCCATTTAACTGAGGTACCATCTGAACTCTGAACATATTGTTATTTTATTATAAAACACATGCATAATTGAAGTCACCATTAAGTTAAGCACAAACATGAAACACCAATACACAAAGCATCTGGAAATAGCAATATTCTTTTGATCAATCATGAATTAGAGAGAGAGAATTTTATTTGCCATGTGCTAGTTGTTACCTGCCGAGCCTCAAGATTGGAAACTGCCATTGCACCAACATAAGGAAGGCTTTCAATAACAGCATCAGCAAGATCCGAAATGAATGTGGGTTCGCAACCTAATGCTGGAACTCGTCCCCAGTGCTTGATGCCAGATTCTAAAGCCAACTCTTTGTACTCCACATCGATTTCTTCCAAAGTTTCAATGTGTTCGCTGACAAAACTGAACAGGGAAGACCATGAGAAAAAAGGAAGATTATCTGAGTTAAATTGGTGGGAGAGAACAATCAGCAGCAAGATAACAGATGTGAAGGTTATAAGAAGTGTAGCACAGACAGAACACCACTTCAATCAGAGATAACAGGAGCTAAGTTGAGAGAAATAATACCTAATGGGAACAGCAAGCAGGCTCTTTACCCCTTTCTGCCCAAGCTCAATAATTGTCTCATCAGTGTACGGTTTCAGCCATTCCACTGGTCCAACTCGGCTCTGTCGATTCAGAACATCAATTAGTAAAAGAAGAGCAACCACCATATTTGGCTAATGCCATTACAGTGAGAGATCTGCACTGACCTGATAAGCAAGTGTGCATGGATTTGTTGTTCCTCTTTTTTCCAGTTCTTCCATGATAAGATCGACACACTCTTCCATTTCTGCTTTATATGGATCACCAGCTTCTTCAACATATGCCAGAGGAACTCCATGAGCACTGAAAAATATCATAACCTGCAAATGGATTTCTCAAATTAGATGTACCTAGGTTTCGATGGCAAATGGATGCAAAATCAAAATGATTCTGGACAATATTTCTTGTTACTAGAAGCCATCCTCACTCCAACATTACCACATTATTTGAGGAAATATTCCCCAGAGAAAAGAAATTTTTAGAAGAGACAATTTCTTGGTGTCTAAAGAAGTCAAGCCCTCTGCCCTTTTTCTCTTTTAAGATAATATATTCCAGCCCTTTTAGCAGTACTGAGAGCCTTTTGCAAGCATTGGAAGCTTGGTGGAAATGGAATTGTGCTTTGTTTGAAGAATAAGAGAGAAAAAATATTGCATATACTCTTCCACACAAGAGATAGCCTTGTATAATGACTTGTAGCACATAAAGTAAATGTCCACCAAGTCCAATAACCTCCTACCTTTTTGGCTCAAGAGAGAACCACAAGTGCTCAAAGTCATGGCTCGTCTTACCTTTTGGGGTTCTGGAAATTTTGTCAATTCGTTCTCAATCAAAGTTGCCATAGACTTGATATATCCTTCACGTTGATACCAGGAAGGTATAACTGTATGTTGCATATTCACAAGATATTCATCCTCTCTACAGGAAATTGAAAGTGACATAAGCACATAAGTATCAATTTTCTAAGCATCAGAATACAGGTATCCGTAATTCCAAATATACCTGAATATGCTCTCCAATAAACGGAGACTTGAACCACTAGTTGATATGGAGAACTGAGGGTATAGAGGCAACACAACAAGTTTTGTGATTCCATCCCGTTTTATCTAGAATGCAACAAGAACAAAATTAGTGAGTTCACAAATGTATTTTTCAAATAGATATATATCACATATGAACACTGAACCACCAGAAAGTACCTATTTGTATGTCTAGAATAGCAAATGGTGTCATGAATACAATACCATAATTATCTAATGGTTTCGTATCTAGAATAGAATAGCATTCATGCTGCAAATGGTTCATGCAACTATTGAAACTGCGATCTGGACTCATATTCTTCTGCAAATGCTACTATGGAAAAATGTTTCTACTTTCTACAAAGATATAATTAGAAAGTGTTCAACTCAATGCACTTGATTGATTTTATGGCTTGCATTACTAAAGAACAATGGAAATTTACAAGTAGAATTTCGCTCTAAGATGATTAAAAAAAACCTGAAAAATCAACAGAACACAGAAGTATTTTGGGTATATGCCAAGCCCCTACTTGTTCTATGGCTTCTTCAGTGAAGGGATGCCAATACCGCATTCCAACATACACCTTGGCAGGAACATCTTTTCCACATAATGCCTCCCTCAGTGCTTCAGCCTGCACAATTCATAAAAGCCATCAAATGGGAGCTCATAGTGCAGCTTTAGACATATTTTAGACATTTTACGACAAGTGGGGAAATCATTAATTATTCTCTAAACTACTAATTTTAATAAAGTAATATAGCAGCATCCATTCACATTCTAATCCTATCGTTGTCCAATGTAAAAGATAAATGACCAGAACGATACTAAAACCACAAATACTGTTTTCACAGCATAGGATCACCATAGTGGCAATGAAGCATAGGTGAAACAGCAAATGCAATTCTGTGTCATCTCATTGTCTAAGATCGTGAGGGCATTTCCTAGACCTAACCTACGAGTCATCACAATATCAACCCAATTGCTGGGAGAATCATTTGTCAACCAAGTGAGAAGCAGCATGCGATTATTTGAAGTTCCACGAAAACCCCATGTGACACTAATGGATGGCTTAATTCGTCATGTGACAAGAATACTGGCTATGGAATTAATCAAAAGAAAATTAGTTTTCCCATGACGCACTTGTGTCCTCTCTGACGCTAGGTAACGGAAAATCCAGAGTGCTAAGATTCAATGAATGGCAGTCATGCCAATTGGCAATTTTAAATTAGATAGACCACAAAAAACACAATATACCTGTGCGTCAGTAATTTGTCGGAGAGGAGAACCGCCACCTATGGATGCATAACCTTCCTTACTCTTTGGTGCTCTCACTACCGATATGAATTTTGCAAGTGGCTTCTGCAGAAAGCGAAAGAGCCTAGGAAGACGGATAATGTCCTGCGATCATGCATCATGGGATACATAATTAGAAGGAAAAGACCTGCATTAAGATGTAGTAATAAGCATCGACTCTGTCTTTGCATCCATCTTTCTATCTCAAACATTCATAAAAATGATGTTACAAAGCTAGGCTCAATGTTGATTAATGAATACAAATAAGTGTGGCATTTGCACAAAAACAGTATTATATAGCTGGACTCTCTGCATATCAGCAATATATTGAACTTGGTGTAAATTCCAGTGAAGATTTAAGTAACTGAGCATTAATTATTTTTGCACCAGAATTGGTAAATCTGCAAGGCAATAATAGTATGAAAAAAATATTGCAAGTCAAAAACTTATAAGCTAGTGTTGCTTTGCAGTATGTTAATTACCGGATCTGCAAAAAGATTAAACAAGAAAGGCTGCACATCGTCAAGAGTCTCTGGGCCCCCAAGATTCAGCAAGAGAACACCAATTTTTTCATTGCCAACAAGAAGTTTTCTCAAATCTGATTGGGCGGTAAGAACTGCCTCTGATGCTGATGAATATCCTCTAAAGTGATGCCTCAAGTCAGGAGATGTTTGAGAAGACCACCCCAAGTTGCATTTAACAGAAATTCCTGGGCGGTCGCCAGCTGAGCAAGGTTTCACTGCGCGTGTCCTTGATGGATTGACCCTGTTAGGCACAGTAGCTATGTTAGGTAAAACATTGACAATGGTATTTCATAGTCATAGATGAAGTACTGTCTATGCATATCATCACTGCCGGCAGTTCAGCAGAAAAAGAGACGTGTGATGCAGGGAATCAGATACAGGTGCCTGCATCCCTTGTTATGTTCAAACATAGACATGATCATTAATACAAACATCGTAGCTCATTTGCGCAGCCACAGCAAGTGAGTGGTGAGTTACTAGCAGATCTAGTACATCCTTTTGCATTGGCACCAGAACAGAGAGCATTTGCTACACAAGTGATAAGACAAACATACCTGGCGGAATTCCGGGGCGCGGGCCTCTTGGGGAAATGCGACGGCCCGGCCTCCACCCTCCCCATGTCCACCACGCCCCTCGTGCTCGCCTGGCTCGACGACCACATCCTCTCCCTCCCCTGCGCGTCAAAATGGATCCACCCGCGTAAAACCCGACCGCAGAAAAGGGACGAAACATCCCCGTGAGCGTGACGAGGCTTACCTCGGGTGGAGGCGGAGAGAAAGGCCGCGAGAGGGACGGATCGGTCGAGGAGCGCCGGGAGGGCTCGCCGTCGCCGGAGACGGTGCGGGGGTGGGGGAACTGCGCAGGCGGGCGGGGCGGGTACAGCGGCGTGTCGCGACCTGGGACGCAAGTGAGGGTGAAGACGGACGGGGACGAGAGACGAGACAAGGGGAAATCATCCGCAACGGTTGGTCCCTGGCTCCCTGCGTTTTTGGAGGGTTTTAGCTTGCGTCGAGCTGGAGCGAAGTCACTGACCAATGGCCCCCACGGATCCGCAGGCCCCACTGCTTAGTGACGCTTTCAGTCCGCCTCGTGACGGAGGTCCGGGCGGGACGTGGAATGTTCAACGCCTCCCGCGCACGGAGAGAGGAGAAAATTATCTTGGTGAAATTTTTACGGTGCAGTCCCTGCGGAACCCACTTATTCTGTTTATTGCACAGCCCTTCTTGTTCTTGCTTCCGCTTTCCTGAGAGAAGACTGGACATCATTATTCCTTCTCCTCGGTCCCTTTCCAAGTTTCAACAACGCAAGCGAAGCGGATATTGCTTGCGCGCAACCACGCAGTTGCTTCCACAGCACCTGGATCAGATTTTGTACCTATTTTCTGGATGGAATATCGTCTCGTTTGGTGAGGAAGATGCGCAGCCATGCCGTCCATTTCCACCGTTCGGACCTCAAAATGTTGTTCGGGACTCCACGGCCTTCAGTTTGTCCGGCTCCGGCATGGCGGCATGGGCATCAGCCATCAGATAGGGATGTCCATCAGATATTCCAGATAGTAGCACACGGCCTGAACGCCAAGCCATCTCTTCTTCCTGCAGTGGCAACTTTGCTCTACTTCTAGTCTAGTTTGATGAGTACATTGTACTTGTACTGTTGTACATGCCTGCTGACTGAATTTGAGTTTACCCTGATAGAAAATGAGGATCTTCTAGGTGTCGATCCGAGGGTGTATGCCTTATCGGTGGATTCAATTAAGGCCTAAAACATCTACTAGTATAGTAAACGTAGATAGAAAGAGAGAGAGACAGATAGGGGTGGAGTAGAAGAGGGACGTGTCGAACCTGACACCGCAGAGGGTGATGGTTTAGAGGCCTTCATCTCATTCGTCGGTGAAGTCTGCGCATGGACAACGACGTTCGAGGAAGAGGTCGATGAAGCCGTCGACGTCGGTGGAGCGGGGTGGCGCGGCTGGTGGCTTTCCGTCACTGGCTGCGCCTCTCTAGATCGGATGAGGGTTTAGGTGTCGGTGAGGAGCTCGGCTCAGGCGAAACTCGTACTCAGAGCCATCGGCCCCCACCTCTATTTATTGCGCAGTGTGACAGGGGCCCTCCAGCCATAGTGGGCTGGCCGCCCCCGATCAGGGCGCGGATCAAAGGCCCAATTGGATCGTTGGGCCCAGTTTGGGATTAGAGATCAATCTAACAATCTTCCCATTGATCTCCTACCATCTTTTAATTTTATATTATTTACTTTTGATCATTCCATTATAGATTAGCGCATAGAGCATGTTTCATCGTCATGGTCAATTGCCGATAGATTTAACAACTACAACACACCACTCTGTTCTGAAATAGATCCAACTTTGGACCTTCTTTTGTCCAGGAATTATAGGCTTTTCCTTAAACCCATGCCGGCTACATGTTCTCTAAACACGTTGGGTGGTAAGCTTTTTGTAAGTGGATCCGCGAACTACTTTTCGGTACTTATATGCTCAAGACTTATGACATGATCTCGGACTTTATCTTTCACAACATAATACTTTATGTCAATGTATTTGGCAGCACCACTTGACTTATTATTGTGAGCATATTGTACTGCCGGATTATTATCGCAGTATAACTTAAGTGGTCTATAGATGTCGTCAACCACCTTCAAACCGGGTATGAACTTCTTTAGCCAGTTCACCTGCCCCGTTGCCTCATAACATGCTACAAACTCGGCATACATTGTGAACGATGTTACATTGTGGATTATGTAGTGACGGTTTGCTTTGAGCTTTTTCATAAAATAGCTCCCCTGCGAGAGTGAATACATATCCAGATGTGGATTTTCTATCATCTCCCGTATAATCAGAATCTGAATATCTCACTATATGGAGTGAATCTGATCTTCTATACATCATCATGAGGCTTTTCGTTCCTTGCAAAAAACACAAGACTTTCTCTACTAATTTTCAGTGTTCTGTTCTAGGATTGCTCTGAAATCTGCCAAGTAACCCGGTAACAAATGCCAAGTCCTGGGGCATTGAAAATCCCCATATCTGTCGTCCTTCACTATAGGAGCAGGTGAGGAACTACATTTGTGCATACTGAATTTCTTTAAGATCCGTTCTATGTATGCCTTTTGTGACAGTCCTAATACCCCTTTACTTCTATCTCGGTGAATCTCGATCCCTAGAACAAACAAGGCTTCACCAAGATCTTTTATATCAAATTTTGAGGACAAAAACTTCTTTGTCTCCAGTAGTAGACTGATATCACTACTAGCAAGTAAGATATCATCCACATACAGGACAAGGAAGATAAACTTTCCATTCTTAAACTTTACATAGACACAATTGTCCTCTACATTCTCTTTAAAACCTAAAATTCCTTATTGTTTGATCAAACTTCAAGTACCACTGTCTTGAAGCTTGTTTTAATCCATAAATAGATTTCTTTAGGCGGCATCCCATTCGTTCTTTTTCTTCTATGACAAAACCTTTCGGTTGTGCCATGTAAACTTTTTCCTCTAAGTCCCCGTTGAGAAATGTCGTCTTTATATCCATCTGATGTAATTCTAAATCGTAATGTGCCACTAATGCCATTATGATTCTGAAGGAATCCTTACATGAGACTGGAGAAAATATCTCATTGTAATCAATCCCTTCTCTTTGCGTAAAGCCTTTTGCCACAAGTCGCGCTTTATATCTCTCTATATTCCCTTGAGAGTCAAGTTTTGTTTTGTAGACCCATTTACAGCCTACTGTTTTGGCTCATTTAGGAATTATTTCTAAGTCTCAAACTTTATTGGCATTTATATATTTCATTTCATCTTCCATGGCCTCAAGCCGCTTTGATGAATGATCACTTCTCATGGCTTCTTCAAATGAGGTGGGATCATCATCCATTTGAAATTTCTCAGTGTTGTATACTTTATAGTCAGCAGGAATAGCTGATTTTCTAACTCTTTGAGACATTCTAGGGGCCTCCACATTTAGCACATCTCCTGTTTGAGGCTATTGTTGCTCCCCCTCATGTGTGTCAATAGGTTCTACAGGATCCTGAAGAACAGGTTCCTCATCGTCATTCATTGTTGTCACAGGCGGAATAACAATAGGTGCTGGCACCATAGTATCTTGCACTGTCGGTGCAGCGACAACAGGTAGTGAGAAAAATAGCTCATGAATCATCGGAGTGGGCGCATACACCCGCTTCTCTTCAAGGTCAATTTCTCGATCTATCATGCTCCCCCTCATCATTTCATCCTCTAGGAAGACAGTGTGTCTCATTTCTACAAACTTTGTGTGTCTATCTAGACAGTAGAAATAAAAACCTTTTGATTTTTCGGGGTGGCCAATAAAATGGCAACTTACTATTTTGGGATCTAGATTTCCAATGTTTGGGTTAAATACTTTAGCCTCAGCAGGACTTCCCCACACACGTAAGTGGTTTAGTGAGGATACTCTTCCTATCCACAGCTCATACGGTGTTTTGGGCATCGACTTACTTTGTACTCTATTGAGAATATGAATAGCGGTTTTTAACGCCTCCATCCACAGGCTCAACGGTAAGGTGGAGTAACTTATCATACTGCGCACCATATCCATCAGGGTACGATTGCGTCTTTCAGCTACTCCATTACGCTGAGGTTCGTCCGGTGTAGAATACTGTGCTACTATGCCATTCTCATGTAAGAACCTTGCAAAAGGTCTAGGAACTTGGCCATATGGGGTATGCCGACCGTAGTACTCCCCCCACGGTCGGACCTGACTATGTTAATCTTTAAATTGTATTGGTTTTCAACTTCTGCCTTAAATATCTTAAATTTATCCAATGCTTCTGTTCTTTCTTTGATTGGATAAATGTAGCCATAACGGGAGTAATCATCTGTGAATGTTATGAACAAATCATAACCATCCACACTCTTTACAGGAAACATACCACAGATGTCTGTGTGAATAATCTTTAAAAATTCCTGCGCTTCGTTTGTCATCTTTCTTAATTTTCTCTACATACTTTCATTTTATGCATTCTCTGCATTGTTCTAAATCTGAGAGCTCTAATGGAGGAAGAATATCATTCTTAACTAGTCTTTCTATTCTGCCCCTCGAAATATGGCCTAAACGACAGTGCCATAATTTCGACGACGCATCGTGAGCTCTCTTTCGTTTTCTGTTTACATCCGCAGACGAGGATACATTCTTATTGTCGCACACAACGTTCCCATCATTGCATACAACATTCACATCATCACGTAATGATAACAAATAAAGCTCATTTTATAAGATAGCAAGACCAACACATGCATTATTAAATGTTATCTTACATTTGCCATTTCCAAAATGGCAATCATATCCATCATTGTTCAAGCATGAAACACTAATCAAGTTTCTCTGTAAAGAGGGAACATAAAGAACATCTCTAAGTAAAAGTGTGAAGCCATCAGCAAGCTCTAGAGAAAGATCGCCAACGGTTTCAACATCTGCTCGGACTCCATTTGCAACTTTAACGTGTCTTTCTCTTCTTTACGTAGTCCTCATCGAACGGAATCCCTATAAAGAATTAGCAACATGAACAGTTGCACCTGAGTCAATCCACCAAGTAGATTTCAAATACTGTACATACAGAGATTTATTTATGAACGTAATAATGTTATCACCTTTCTTTGCCATGATCATCTTTAAGTAATCGGGACAATCTTTCTTATACTGTCCCGTCTTCTTGCAATAGAGACACTGATCTTTTTCTACTGTGAACTTGTTCTGCTAAGGCTGATGCAACATGGGACCCTTTCCCTTTGGCTCTGAGGAGGAGTTAGCATTATTATTCTTTTTCTTGTTGTCTTTCACATAATTGATAGTGTCACCATTGACAACTTTCATTCTCTCCTCCTCTTGCACACACATAGCCATGAGCCTCTCTAAGTCCCACTTCTCGGGCTGTATGTTGTAGTTGACAACAAAAATGTTAAATTCTTTAGGCAAGAAAGCAAAAATCAGATGGATAAGGAACTCTTCCTTGAGAGCTAGATCCATTGGTTTTAGCTTGGATACCAAATTGCTCATCCTTAGCATGTGCTCTCTTATGCCACCATTTCCAGAGTACCTCTCTGTCACCAGCTGCTTTATCAGCTGGGTAGCATATGTCTTTGAAGAGCTAGTGAACTGACTCTTTATTCTATCGAGGTACTCGGTGATGGTGTCACACTCTGGGATTGAGCCCACAATTGCTGGCTCAATCGTGTTCTTTATCACAGCCATACATTTCTTGTTGGCAGTGACTCACTTCCTATGCTCAAGGTCATATGACATCTTTTAGGATGCAAAATCCCTTTCTCTGGTTGCCCAAGAGGCATCAGCCTCGTTTATCTCCCTCACCGGTGCCACAGGCTCAGTGGGACACAGTGAGGTGACTACCCAGTCCACCACAGCCAAGATGAAGGCCAGGTCAATGTTTTTCTTCCACTCCGTGTAGTTATCACCTTTGAGAGTGGGGATCTCTTTGATACAACCCATCAAGTTGTATCCGCCTAAAAACACAATTTATATAGAGTGAGAACATAAACATAATAATAACAATTGCATGCCTTAGTTCCAACGTTGGTTAAAATTAAAATATACAATTGTCCTCTACACTAATTCTATATCACCGTTGGGCAGAAATAGAATTAATGCATGACAAAACTCATCATAATATTGCCATTAATCAACGTTGGTCAGAATAACAATAATATTATAATAAGCTAAAAACATATCCATTTTTCAAAATTAAATTCTCCCGTTGGTTCGAATTTAATAATGAAAATAACAACTTTAAAATACGCAGCGGAAAAAATGAACTCATTTTCTTGAATTTTACCCACAAGAAAATTTTGTTTTTCTAATTTCTTTTGAGCCATTTTCCATTTTTCAATTTTACTGAAAAATAAAAAAAGGAAAATTGGGCTCCCTCTTTACTGCTACTAGGCCTGAAGCTGGCAATTCGGCTCGGCCCACCACCTCTGCGTGGCGCCCGGCCGCACCTAGGCCGCAACGTGGGCCTAGGTCGGCAAAGTGCCGCGGCCGCGCGCGCCCACCTGGGCCGCGAAACGGCCTGCATGATCTGAGCCGTCCACGCCGATCCGACGGCCAAGCGGCGTTATCGGGTAAACAAAACCCCCTTCGGCCGGTGCAGGCGAAACCCTAGCGCCATTCCTTCCCTCTCGTTCTCTCTCTCACTCAGCCGCGTGAGACCGAGCAAAGAGCAGGCAACGACGAGAGCGAGCAGGGCCTTGACGCTGTCGAGCGGCCTGGCCGCGGCGCCTCCTTGGCCGGGGCCCAACGAGCAGCTGCCCCCGGCTCGGCCTTCTTCTCCCCGCACACCGACGAGCCGTACTACGACAGTGTCAGCAGCGGTCGAGGCAGGCCTCCCCTTCCCCTTCTTCCCCATCTGATTTGGGTCTAGTTTGTTCTTCTCGGATTCAACCGATTGGGGATCTAGGGTTAGGGTTAGGAAAACACTATTTCTTCTCAGATCCGAACTGGATCTGATTGGTTCTCTGCTTTCTTGTCTATTTCTTCCCCTTGCCGTGATCTACACCTAGGAAAATGGCTCCAATACCAATGATAGAAAATGAGGATCTTCTAGGTGTTGATCCGAGGGTGTATGCCTTATCGGTTGATTCAATTAAGCCCTAGAACATCTACTAGTACAGTAAATGTAGATAGAATGAGAGAGAGACAGAGAGGGGTGGAGTAGAAGAAGGACATGTTGAACCTAACACCGCAGAGGGTGATGGTCCAGAGGCCTCCATCTCGTTCGTCGATGAAGTCTGCGTACGGGCAGCGACGTTCGGGGAAGAGGTCGATGAAGCCGTCGACGTCGGTGGAGCGGGGCAGTGCGGCTGGTGGCTTCCCATCACTGGCTGCGCCCCTCTAGATCGGATTAGGATTTAGGTGTCGATGGGGAGCTCAGCTCAGGCGAACCTCGTACTCAAAGCCGCTGGCCCCCACCTCTATTTATTGCGCAGTGTGACAGAGGCCCTCCAGCCATAGTGGGCTGGGTGCCCCCGATCAGGGTACGGATCAAAGGCCCAACTGGGCCGTTGGGCCCAGTTTGGGATTAGAGATCAATCTAACATACCCCATTCAGCCACAAAGGACTACTCAGAACGCTGACAGCATTGCCCTTCCCAGCCCCAACCATAGTGTCAACGTGCAGCTGTGCGTCAGTAGATACTACTCCCTCTGTTAAAAAAGATCATTGTTTTAGAAATGAACATGGACGTCGGGAGTACTTCCTATTCATTGACAGAAGGTGACGACAGTACACTTTGCACCTGCCCGACCCACTATCAGTGTTGACTAAGCTTGCCCAGGCATGCCCTATAGCCTCGTCCTGTCCCTACATTATTCGGATTGGACCACCTATTACCACAATTGACAGTTGACAACGAGACTTATATGCAATGATCCTTTTTTCCTTTAAAAATGTGCTTCTGCTTCGCATTTCCAACAAGGACGATAATAGAAAATGCTTAGATCCCCTTCGGAACATATGGTTTGCGAAGGAATATTGTAGGATTCGGGATTCCCTTTTCGGTAATGCTCTCCTCAGGGCGCCCGTCCGTTCGGACGGCGTGCTTCCCAGTCAGCGTCGCTCGCTCCAATTCATCACGGGGCATGCGACACTCGCTCCTGTCCACGCCCGCGACGCTCACTCCCGCCAGCGAGGCCCAATCCCCTTCCTCTACAGCCTTTCTCCAAGGCAGGGGCGCCGCGTCGCAGGCACCGCACCCGCCCCGCCCGTCGTGGCCTTCTCCAGCGCGGGGTCACTCGTTGCGGACATTGCACCCGCCCACTTTTACCCCCCACTCCATGTCGGCATCGATCTCCACACCAACATCGAGTTGTGCGTGTCGACGAGTCTCCATTAGTCCAAGCAGCCAGGTGACATTACACTGAAAAGTGCATATTACAAGCATGTGTTTCAGGTGTTTGAGATATTTCGTAGGTATGTTGTGATTGTTTTATATCGATGTTGCAAAATTAGATCGGGATGTTGTACATGTTGCAATGGCTATACATGTATATTTTAAGTGTATGTTCCAAATGTTTCTTCATCTGTTTTCAGACGTATGTTGCAAGTGTTTTATTTGGATGTTGCAAGTGTTTTATTTGGATGCTGCAAAAGTAGATCTGGATGTTGCATATATTTGCAAGTGTTTTCAGGTGTTTTTATATGTATATTACAAGTGTTTCATCTGAATGTTTGCATATATTTGCAATGGCTACACACGTATTTTCAAGTTTTTTTTGATGTTTTGCAAGTGTTTCTGACGTATGTTGCAAGTGTTTTAACTGTTTTGGACGTATGGTGCAAGTGTTTCATCTTGATGTTGCGAAAGCAGATCGGGTATTGCAATGGGACCCACCTGCCTAGCTGCCTGTTGCAGCGCTGGGGCATACCGTGAGTTGTTGTGCGGGCGCCTGAGGCTGGAAGACAAGCGTGAAGGTAGGGGCGATACGCAGCATGGGTTCCACACGGAGGGGCACACGAAAAGAGGCGTCATAGGCTTTTTCGCTTGCGGCGCGGCCTTCTGCGTGATGCACCGAAAGCGTCCGATATTTTGGGGGGAGGGGGGGCTCCAGACGTCCGAGCGTTAGTAACACCTAGAAAATGCTTAGATCCCCTTTGGAACATATGGTTTACGAATGAATGTTGTAGGATTTGTGATTCCTTTTTTTAATAGGACTGAATTTTTGCAATCCTATGTGGCCCTTTGGAACAAATGATTGGCTAACTTGAAATTCTATAAAATCCTTAGGGAATGGCTCAAACCATAGAATTTTTGAAGGAAATTGTCCTATGTGCATCTTCTAATTCATGTGTTTTGGGAATTTTATGTTCCTGAAAGGCCTGTAGTCACTATTTTCATTCACTTGAAGAGAAAATATTGAGTAAAGACCCAAACTTGAAGGGAAATAGAAACACTACTTACGGTCATGAAAGAATTCTTCACACTTATTACTAGGACCGAGCACTCAAAAACAAAACCACCATCTACCATTCCAATCACACAGGCTGCAACACTGTATCTTTTCAAAAAGAGTAAAATACATAGACGGTCCTTAAACTTAACGTGGGGTGTCATCTAAGTCTCTATAATATCAAAGTGTTATTTCTTGGTACATAGCCTCCCGGTATCGGATCTAACCCGCTCTATAGGGTGACGTGGCACACTAACTGTGCATCCGACATATAGGGCCCACTCGTCAGGCTTCTCCTTTTATCTCCCTCCTCTGTCTCGAGCTCTCTTCGTCCACGGAAGACCGGCTCCAGGCGGATGGTGGATCCCAACGCCGGCAGCTGCCGCCCCCTGCGCGACGCCCCCCTGCCTGACCCCCCTGCGCTCCAGGCAGAGGTGGATCCCAACGCCGCGAGCGCCGCGGAGAGGGGCGCCCCCGACGAGCTCTCCTCAGGTCCACCTCGGCAAGCCGCCGAGCCCACCTCTGTCTGGCGCGTCGTCGATGGGCTCCTGCGCGTGCTGCTGTCGCACCGCCGTGCCTCGTCGACGTTCTTGGACGACGGGTGTACGTTCAGGATGGGCTCTCACGGCGCGGGGCCCGGGCGCGGCCGGAGCTCGCGTGGCTGGCGCGGCCGGCGCGGCCTTGGCTCCCTCCCGCGAGGAGCTCGCGCGGGGAGCTCTCGCGCGCCGGTGGTGGGCGCGTGGCTGGCTGGGGGCGGCGCGAGCGCGGTGGCACCAGCTCGTGATGCGGCGCGGCGGCCCGAGCTCCCACGCGGCCATGGCAGGACCTCGGGGATGGCAGCGTGCGGCCGTCGCGAGCGCGTCGGGGGGCGTCGCGGCTATGGCCGGGGAGAGCTCGTCAAGGGCCGTCGCGGCCATGGCCGGTGCGAGCTCGGCGGGGGCGGGGAGTGGCGCAGACATGGCCGGACGTGGGGAAGTCGAGGCGAGCGCGTCGGGGGCCATCGCGGCCATGTCTGGGGCGAACTCGGCGAGGGTGCTGCCTTGGCCGAGGCGAGCTGTCGCCGGTGTCCCGCTCGTCTCGTCCTCCACGCCGGCCGCGTGCTGGCTCGCCGCCGCCGCACGCCGCCGCGGGCTCTGCCGCAGCCGACGAGGAGGCGCATGTTGAGGATATGTGCCTAGACTGCAACCGGCAACAGCCCAGCTCTGACCAGCACGAGTGCGCGGTCACCAGGCGCTCCCGCGCCCACATCGCACACGTTGTACACTAGAGTAGAGCTACGGTTGCTGCAATTGGCAACCTCTGTTGTAACCTATATACATTCATTCAGAGATCAATAGACAGCTGTTGGGTCTCATTCTTTCTCTCTACATGGTATCAGCTAGCTCGGGTTGATCACCTCCATTTGCTCACCGCCGTCGCTTCCTGCTCGCCGTCTCCCACCTCCGCTGCTCACCTTCGGCCTTCCCTTGCCGCCATGCCCACCATGGATGACAACCCTCTCTTCGGTGTCAACCAGTCTTACTCCGACACCTCCTCCGTCGCTTCCTATACTTCCTCCGTCGACGCCGACGTTCCCACCGCCAACACACCTCCCTCTGCTGTCCTCCAAACCGTGAACATCAAATCTCATGTTCCGGTTGTCCTCGAGCTCGCCGAGCCGAACTACGGCGAATGGCGCTGTTTCTTCGATGTGTTCCTCGGCAAGTTCGGTCTCACTTCCCACATTTCCTCGCCGCCAACCCCGACCTAGCGTCGCGATCTAGAATGGCGCATCGTTGACCAATGCATCCTAAGTTGGTTGTACAACTCTATCTCCAAGGACGTGCACGCAATTGTGCGCGCCCCGAACACCACTGCCTACCGCGTTTGGGACGGCATCCATGCCCAATTCCGCGACAACGAGCTCCATCGCGCTGTCTACCTGGAGTCCGAGTTCCGGAGCCTCGTCCAGGGAGACATGGACATCACTCAGTACACTGGGCGCCTCAAGCAGCTTGCCGACGGCCTCCGCGATGTAGGTCAGCCAATGCGCGAGACGAGCCAAGTGCTCAACATGTTGCGTGGCCTCAGCACCAAGTACCGTCATGCCATCCCGGCGATCACGGCGCGGCAACCGCCGCACACCTTCCTCTCGGTGTGCTCGTACCTCCTGCTAGAAGAACAATACGACCCCGAGCACGCCAAGACTGCCGCTCAGCATGCCCTCGTCGCCTCCGGCGGTTCTAGGCCACCCACTCCATCCACCGGCAATGGCAGCTCCAGCACTGCGCCACATGCTTCCCAGTCTCCGGCAACTGGCCACGGCGCCCCGCCTCGCGGTGATCAACGCCGGGGTCATGGTCGTGGCCACGGGCGTGGTCGCGGCTACAACCAACTGCCCCGCGGTTCCTTCTCCACGCCCCGTGGCCCGCCCGCTTGGGCCCCTAGCGTCAACCCTTGGACTGGCATGGTCCAGGCTTGGCCAATGCCGTTCCGTGCGCCCAGCGCAGGCATCCTCAGTCCATGCCCCGTAGACAGCTGTTGGCTCTCATTCTTTCTCTCTACAGTGCAAGCCGCGAGGAGGAGGAGAAAAAATGACAAAAAAAAAATTAATATATTCCACCTAATATGTGGGGGCCACATGCGGGGCGTGCCACGTCAACATCCAGAGCAGACTAGAACCCGTTTGGACTTAGATGAGACCCGAAGCTAAGTTCATGGACAAAAAATAGCACTTTGATAATATAGGGACCTGGATCACACCCCACTCCAAGTTCTCTTTTTTTTCCAAAAATGGCCATTTGAGCAGCCTCATCAGCAACAAACAGGAAGCAAGTTATAATTACAGCCGCATCGAAGAGTAAGCTGCCCAAGAGTGGCAGGAAAGCATCAAGAAATTTGTTCTGCATCGTGACAGCGTTCATCTAAATACATCTGCAAACTGTTCGTTTGGCACACAATACAACAACCCCCTCATTCTCACAATTCAAACCCGGCCGGACTTCTCACATTTCAAGCACACGGGAGATCAGATCATCCGCAATCAACGAAACGAACAAGGCCACACAACGCGCGACAGCCTCAAGCGACGAGGTCGTACTCGTCGCGCGCTGGCGGCACGACGTCGAGCCGCATCATGCTCCGGTACTCCGCGGGCACGGGCGCGCCAGCCTGCACGCACAGCTCCACCACCGCGGGGGCCTTGCCGTAGTACCGCTTGAGCTCGTTGGCCAATGGCGGTGCCTCGTCGCCGGCGGGGTCCGCGACGTGCCACACGTAGTTGGGCGGGACGAGGTCGTCCACCGTGGCCTCCTGCCACGCGTGCTGTCCGTCCCGCTGCTGGTGCTTGGTGGCCCTGCACATCCGCACCTTGTGCCCCTTGGGACCGACCTGCACTTCAGGGCAGTAGCCGCAGGTGTGCACGCTATACTTCTTCATCAGCCTCGCCGCGCCGGACCTCATGTCCAGCCACGATTGCAGTGTCCTCGACGCAAGCTCAGTCACGGTGATCTCCTCCTTTTCCTCTTCTTCGCTAACAACATCAGGAGAAGTTGAACTTATTATGGTTGGCGCAGCTGTAGACAACGATGGTGTGCACGCTGGCGGTTCAGGTAACGTCCCAGCTGCTTCGTCGTCCGGCTCAAAGTCCACGATCCTGCCTTCAATGGAGTAGACTGGCCTGGTGCGCCGCTTGGTCGGGTAGCGCTGGACGTCGACGCCGGCCTGGATGCAGAGCTCCAGGATCGCTGGGAGCCTCGGCACGTCGTACTTCTCCTTGTGCACGACTCTGGGCTTCCCGACGCGGTCGAACAGGTGGTAGCAGTAGGGGAAGCCGACGACGTCCCGCACGGTCCCCGGCCGCCACACGTGCAGGGAGTTCCTCGCGCCGCTGTTACGCCCCTCGCACGTCCTGATCTCGTGCCCAACGCGGCCGATGTGCACCTCCGAGCAAAACCTGGCAACAACATTATTTCATTCATCATGCCATAATTCCATCACTGCTGACTGATTTCGTGAGCCATGGCGCTTCCGAGCAGAGTGTCCCTCACCTGCATCGCTTCACCGGGATGGCGCCCTCGCCCTCGACGAGCCTGGTCAGGCCGCCGAGGAGCCCCTCCCTCGCGGCGTGCACGCGGCGGGCGACGTCGACGAGGTGCGGCACGACAAGGCCGTTGTCGGGCGGGTGCTCGAGCACGCGGCACGGGTTCTCCCGGCGGGCCTGCCTCTCCTCCTTGGCCCGCCGGATGAGCACTTTCATCGGCGTCACGTACGGCTTCCGCTCCCACTTCCTGCCCGGCCGAGGCACGTCGACGTACGGGACCGCAGCCTCCTCCTCCTCCGAAGCCCCTGTCCGCCCGCCGCCGCCCTGCAGCCATCTCGCCCTCGCGGTTAGCTGCCGCGGGAAGAGAACACGCAGTGACGCGCTCGGCGCTCTGGATAGGACGCCGAGGGAACCCTGCATCTGTCAGACGTGCGCGGCGGCGCTAGGGCTGAAACGGCATTCTGTCAAGCACCTGACGGGCGCGACCGCGCAGTGGGGGAACACGCTCACGCGAGCAGCGTTCGGCAGCCGCGCGTAAGGGCAGAGGCAGGCGCGGCCGAGCTCAGTTTTCGGCAAGCTGCCAACGATAGCGGCAGTGACGGACCCAGCCAAACATTTCAGGTAGGGCGGACCGCAGCGGCGCAGGCGCGCGGCCGCCGGATGCAGCCGGCCAGCCGCCGAGCCGCGGCTTCTGCTGCTCGCTGCCGACCGGGACCGGCCGTCTCCACTCTCCCGCGGGCCGCGGCTGCTGGCAGCCTGCCGATCAGCCACGCGGTGGGACCTGAGAGGGGGAGCGGGATGCTGGCAGCCGCCGCGAGGCCGCGTGTCCGTGCCGACCTGCGACCGCCCGCCTTCCGCCTTGCGGCCTTGCCCCTTTGGAGCGCCGCCCCCGCTGCCAAGCGCCCGACTCCGTGGGTGGGGACAGTCGAGCGTCGTGGCCTGTGGCCTGTGGCCCCGCTCTGCTTGCCCTAAGGTCCAGCTAGCGAGATGGGCCATTCCGCCACTGGGCCTGGCCAGACGGAGTCATGCGCCGCTGTGCCCCTCGCTCCGGGCCTCGGGAGCCCGATGCATCTTCCACCTCCGGTCACCGCTCGGGGCCTCGGGCGGTCGCTGGCCGAGGGACTGCCGGAGTGGGGGATGCCTATGGATAGCGGCGGGCGGCTAGGAGAGGCCGCTGAACGGCAACCTCGAGTCGTTGTTAGTTTTGTTTTCTATTCTAATTCTTATAGCTGTGGAACTGGAAGGATGCGAATGATAAGTAGGTAACAACCATCAACTATGGAAGTTCCCTAAAAAAAACCATCAACTATGGAAGTGGCACGGAGTGGGGTGGTTAGAATAACATGCTCAAATCAGTGAGCTCCATTGATTGATTTTGAGACTGACGAATACAAGGTCGCGAGAGTTTGAACACATTTGCGTGAACTACGGCGATGGGCTTTTCCGAGAAGAATACAAAAAGAAAAATCAATCAAAAACGTGGTCGGCAGGATTCGAACCTGCGCGGGCAAAGCCCACATGATTTCTAGTCATGCCCGATAACCACTCCGGCACGACCACTTGCGTGCTGAATCTTCAACACCAATTTACTTGTTACTGAAATTACTACGTAACAACGAAGCCGTCTCGCTTTTTGCATCGTCCTCTGACTCCGGAATAAGACTAGTCTCCAGCCGGCACCACAGGTCCACAGCAGCCAGCCGCTTCCTTTCCTCCGGCGATGGCGAAGAATCCCAAAGGTAACCTGCCGATCGCGTCGCTTCTACGCCGCAGGCCCTAGCACGAATCATCACCGATCAATCTTATCCCCACCTGATGTGAATCACCCGCTCATCTCATCCCCTATTGCTGCTCCCAGATGCCGCTCCGGAGGAGGAGGAGGAGATGCCCGCCGCCGCGGCCGAAGAACACGCAGCGCCAGCCGCGGCGACGGTGAAGGTGCTCTTCTTCGCCCGCGCGCGGGACCTGACGGGCGTGGCGGATTCGGCGGTGGAGGTGCCGCTGGGGAGCACCGCGGGGGAGTGCCTCGCCCGGGTCCTGGCCCGGTTCCCCAAGCTGGAGGAGATCCGGGGCTCCGTCGTGCTCGCGCTCAACGAGGAGTACGCGGCCGAGTCCACCGCCGTCGCCCACGGCGACGAGCTCGCTGTCATACCGCCCATCAGTGGCGGCTGACGCTAATCACGACCGACTTGTGTGGAGGTGAAAAGATATAAACACATAAATCATTGGGAAAAAAGAGAGAGAGAGGAAATGTTCCTCTCCCTTCTTCCTTGTTACCACAAATGATTGAAATTATATGCTCGATGAAATAATCTCCTATTCTTGATTACAATTTTGTCACTTTGATCAGTAATATTTGTTGTGAAAGAATGGATGAAATGAATGCCACTGGCTTGTATGTTGATAAATGTGTTACTCGCTCACCACTGATCACTGATAGACACCAATGGTAGCATGTATGGAGTACATACTGAAAATTCTCCTTTCAAATGGTTCACAATGAAAAAACTCGTTCGCTAGCTAATCCTGGAGATACAATCCAAACAAATCCTTCAGGAAAATTAGAAACGGCTCAAAAAGATAAATCAAGGAAATTACTATCATCTTTGCAGGAAAAAGGTAAAGAAAATTATGAATGAACAAGTAAAGAGAAGTAGAGGCGGCTCTATGTTGCCAAATGCAAAATATGCTCTCCTTGGTGTTCATGTCACTGATGCTGCCCTCTTCTCTTGACTAGTATAGCTCCTGGTTACTAAAAAAGTTCTGCATTTTTTTCTTCTGCTTTACGGTCCTACAGAAGTGGTGTTCCATACCCAATGGCGTCATGGAACTAGCTACCATAGGTAGGAAATGCAGCCGCTATCGAAATCATTTACTTCAGAGCTGGCACTGTTAAATCCAAGAGGACAATGCTTGGGGGGAAAAAAAACTGTTATTCAATTATCGGAATGGTCAGGATCGACCAAGGGCTGCTCAGTTCTGCTCCCTCTAAACCAAAATTTTCAGTTCAGAACTCTGTTACGGGCACCAAACCTGGCTTTCTTAACCCTCTGAAACCTTGCGCACCCAGAGGATCTGTGATGTGCATAGTAACAGACAACAGGGGAGCAACACAGATCTTCTGATCAGACAACACTGCAGGCATTCAAGCTGCAGCATACCGAAAACCTTGCGCACCCAGTAGGACCGTGAACCGGCTGAGATCAACCAACACTGATAAGCTTTCAAGCTGCAGCATACTGAATGCATGGCTGCAGACACCCACTCCCGCTAGAACTAGATGTAGAGGATATAACTGTTTTGGCATTGAGGTTGAAGATTGGGCCCACAAGCCAACATCATCATCATCATCATCAGTGTACACTGTACATGAGTGTGAGAAGTACACAACAAGGCGATAATGGCAAAAGAGAGCACATGAAAACTGAGCACACTAGCATCCAAATTAACAAAAAAAAAACATGTATGTACGAATGGTAAATTTTAGGACTCCACCACTGACCATGGACTAAAAAAAATGAAAACCTGGAGCACAAGAAGCAGTTCCTCAAAAAAGAAAGAAAAACTAAAGGAAGAAAAAAAGAAGATAAAAGAGAGACCACAGACATCAACATTGGCATCCTCCTTGATGCGTCATCTAAAACAAAAGGTATAGGCAAAGCCAATTCGGATGCTCGTACTGATGTTCATCATCCAGAATGGTTGCTTGTGGGAACCTTCTTATGGAACTTTGAGCAGCTTCACTCATCTGTCCTGAACCATTGACCATGGAAGCGTAGCACCAGATGATGTTCTTAGCATAGGAACACGTCTCGCTACCAGGAAGGCTTCGTTGAGACGTGCCGCGCGATCAGCAAACTGGGAGGCCCTCTGCAATTTCACACCAAGGAAAACATGGTTAGACACTTCCTGGAAAGACAAGTATGGTCATGAGCTGTACCTCCTGATCGAAATCTAATGATGTCAACACAATAAAACGCCATCAACTATGACCACTGACTCATCGTTTAGAGGAATGCAGGAAGCGAGTGAACACACACTGCATAGCCACAAGTCATTTTACTACCTTGTCATCTTAAATGCAGAAAGTGAGTGCCTAGCCACAAGTCATTTTACTAGCTTGTTTTCTATGGTTCACAATAATTGTACCCTGGTGTTCTTTCCCACCTGAAAATGGTGTTACATCTATTTGAAAATGAACAGCGAGGTGCAATTGATATCCCTTGCTTCTCCATGATAATTGGACTGTGCATTTTGGGGTTTCTGGGTGTGAACACTTTGGGCAGTAGAGCAGGTACTATTGTTATCCTCTTAACTTCCATATGGACAGCAATCATCTATCAACATGCCTCAACTTAGCTATAGTGAGCCATGACTTCCATTCTGGAAAGAAGGGAGCCAAAAAAAGCTATGGTATGATGGTATCCAAATTGAAGTATGACAAAATATTTGATCTTTGGTCCTGGCTTGCCAAAACATACTAATGACTAAACACAACCCTAATTCAGTGTCATTTAACGGAAGATATAATACCAATTTCCGTCAGCCATAGTCAAACACACTGGCAGGTGCCTCTTAATACATCCCCCCTACATGAGGGATACTGCCTTACTGGGTAGCAGTTATGATCATATTATGCATTAGCCAAATTAGGGTTGGTCATGAGAAAATCTGGAAAAAAAAACTTCGTGAGAAACCGAACATAACTAATGAATCCACCTTCTCCAAGTGAAGTGTGAAGGCTGCCAGTGGTAGCACGAGAGGAGATGTTTCCCATACCCATAGTTCGAGCAGGAAAAATAATATTGCAAAACCCCAGAGACATGATCATAGCAAACAGTTATAGATCCCATAAGACAACGATCCCCTATGGAGTGCTGAATTTTCGGAAATTATCTAAACCCACTGCCAATATAATGGCAAAAAAACCCCATGCATATATACTGCATTATTTCACCCTTCAAAATGATTTAGCAAAACTCTACCATTCATTAATTGCTCATTATGTTACCATGCCAATAATTCTGTGCTATTATGCTTAAACTCTTATCACCTCACACCCAATTTGGAAGCAAGTTCATCCATAAGACCATGCAAATCAACGTTCATGAAAAAGTTGCAAAGAATACAGGTTGCTATCACTTTTACAGCATAGATGTAAATTATGATTCACAATTATCTTGTTTTCCTTGATACTTGTGCCTGAATATTATATCCACAGGCTGTGATGTTTGAAGTTAATGACTCGGTATTGATCATACTTCATCCATCAATTCTCATAACAAATCATCTCCACCAAATAAACTATTTCATGAACCAATTAAGTCTTCCACTCTTCCTATCAGCTATATAATGCTATTGCTACTTATGTGTTGTCCTGGACTAAACCACAGTAAGAATCAGGTTCTAATATAGCAACATCAACAGTAAGTAGCAAAGGGCTTACCTTATCATCAAACGCAATCTTAATCTGAGGCAAGCCCTTTGCCTTGCGCTTCATCCTGTACATCCTCCTCCCCAGCACAACCAGGCCGAGAAATGCAGCGGCGATGGAGAAGGACCACACCGGCTTCACCTTCCAGGCACAGTAGTGCAGCAGCCTGAGCGGCAGCCTCCACCAGACAACAAATTGCTTCTCTCCCTCTTCAGTACCTGGCGTGTGAGCCAGCGGCAAAGCACCATCCTTGGTCTCTCCATCTGGTTCATCGCAACCAGTGGCAGCATTAGCGTTGCTCCCTTGCTCCTGCTCCTGCTGTTCACCATGAATCCCATCACTTGACACAGCATCCTCAAGGCATGAGCTTTCTACACCCGCACCAATTCCTCCATCATCCCATTGCACAAGGGGACTCTCCGATACCTCACTTTGGAGCAAGGCACCTGTAGGTGTAGCTGCATCAGAATCCAGAGTTTCTCCCACGCCATGATGCGCCGGCTGCAGCACCGGGCACAATTCACCGAGACTAATCGCGGAATTACTCTCCTGATCAATCTCGCCGTCTACCACCTCCTCCGCTTGATTCCCGTCTGCGCTACGGGTCGCACCGCGCGCCAGGGTGGCTTGAAGAATCGAGACTTCTTCGCGGGCGTTATCGACGCCGCCTATCGGCGGCTGCTGGGTCCTAACACCAGCTGCGAGGCTGAAACTTGATTCCGGAATCGGATCGAACCCATCCAATAATTCTAACCCTTGCCAGACGCCCCCGGGGACCGGCCGCGAGCCCTCGCCGTCGCCGGGGCAGGCGGCTGCGGGGTCGGGGGTGAGGGCGAAGTGGTCGAGGACGACGTCGCCGCCCCCGCCGGAGACGATTAATACCTCATCGTCGTCGCCGCCACCCCCGCAGGCGGAGGTGGCAGAGAGCACCTCCCAGTCGCTGATCTCCGAGGCGGCGTCCTCCATGGCCGTGGTGGCTCTGCCGTCTGCCCGTCTCTTCCGGGAAGGAAGGGGGGGGGGAGGGACAAGGGAGGGGAACGGCGGTGTGGGGGAGAGCCGAGGCGGAGAGGAGGCAGGCATGTGGGACCCAGAAGGGTGTGGGCGAGAAAAAGGCTGAGTGGGGGAGGGCCAGGCGGGACACGTAGCAAGAAGCCCCGCGTGTCGGATAACGAGAAAAAAGCGCGCGACTACGCTCACGCAGCGGAGCCCATTGGCTTGAGTGTGGAGTGGGTCCTCCAAGTGTGCTCTGCGTTGGGGCCCGGTTGTCATCGAGTGTATAGCAACGCTCTCTGGAAAATCCCTCCCCAGCCCAGTGGGGCAGAGTTTTCGCCGAGGAAAAAAATACCTAACGTTGGCTCTCCAAGACACCACCGCAGCGCCGACGTGGTATATCGTTGTGGACACGTGGCGCTCTCCCGATGCGGACCCGACAGCCACGCAGCGTTGAATGACGTAGCTATAAGTACTCCCTCCGAGATGTTTTATGTACCTAGAAAAGGCACAGTTAAGAACAAAAGAAGTACTAGTATATTTTCTTAATAATTTTGGTAGATTAAGCTATTGCTTGTTCGCTTGGTTGATAAACCATAACTGAAAGTATGTTTGGCTGATTTGTTGTGAGAGAAAAATATTGTTCGTTGGCTGAAAAAGTACGGCTTATAAGTAAGCGAACAGGGCATATGATTATATGAACTAATTCTTTTTTTGTTAGCTATAATAATTGGAGGAAGTTGGCTAATAGCTTTTTATAAGCTAGGTGGTTGAATAGTTAAAAATAGGGAAATTTTGCTCAGAGACACTGCACAAACGTGCAATTTACTGTTGAACACCGCCAACTCGAAAGTTGGCCCAGTACTATTATGAAATTGAGATTCTTTGCTGTAACACACTGCGGCCATTATTTTATTCATTTCTTGTATTCGCGGAGAGAGGTGGTGAGAAAAATGATAGTTTTGCCCTTCTTCAACCTATAGCTGTTCATTGTGGTCGTCTTCCACCTTTAGATGGGCGGCCATGGATGGCCACTTGCACAGGGGGCGGGGCACGCTTTGGCCATGGATGGGGGATAGGGGCGGCTGGGCTCACCGACCGGCGGTAGGAGCCCATGGCGACAACGCTAGGTCACAGGGAGGCGTCACTCGTCTCCGATCCATGAAGGGGCGGCTCCGGCGGTCACTTCGCGCGCATCGAGTGGTTCGAGACGCCCGACGTGGTGCGTGCGGGCGGCCTGCCGATGCTGTCGCAGAACCGACCAATTTATAAGAGTACAAGTACAATGGCAGCCCGCAAGCGGTCGCACTGTCATACTTGAACCCATATAAACCCGGTAGTCCGTCGAGTACCACGACGGGTCTCGATAAACGATTTACAACAACCAAGATCGTACATGATTCAACATACATGCCACATATTACATAAAGTTCACAGATACATTTCTCTATCAGAGTACGAATAAAAGTTATTACAAACCGAGTTTGATAGATAAAAGCGGAAGCAAATTAAGTTTGAAAGTAAAGTTTCCAACATAGTTTAGTACAGTGCCAAGATACGATCACGGTCCACAAAAGCATGTAGAAGGATTAATAAGAAGCCTGCCCAAGGCCTACTCCTCATCCACGGCGGGATAGAAGCAACTCTTGCAATAACCATGATACACAGTGACATCTGCAACATGGGAAATAAAACACTGAGTACGAGAAGATACTCAGCTAGACTTACCCGTCATAAACTAGAAATAAGATGACTCCAATGATTATGCAAGGCTGTATAAGTGGAGATAACTTGACAACATTTTGCATAAAAGCAATTGACTTATTGTACAATTTGGATTCCTTTATCAATTATTTATAACTATCCATCTCTAGATTAGCAACTATCCTGTGCCAAACATGTGGTATATCCATTTAAAAGCATACAATAGTAACCATAGCAGGTATTGTAATTCCATATTCATTCGAATCATCATGTTCCATAACACAGTTACTACGATGTTGGGACTAGCCAAGTTTCTCACTATCCGGGAGAGACGGCGATTCGAATCGATTTCAACCAGCTGAGAATTTATTCCTAACACAAACCCAGGTCTACCAGCCACGATAGCCTTAGGTCACCTTTGTTACAACTCAGGTACACATTTCGTGGGTCCGTACCGCGCCGCACAATCTGGAACACCAGATGCCAGGACGTTCAGGCCTAGCCTGCCCTTGGGCTCAGTCTGATCGTTCCTCGGAAGGAGCGCACAACAGAACGGGTCCCGGTCTGAGTTGAATTACTCGGCTTCACGGTCGGAATGAGTTATCCGGCTAGCTAAGTGAGAGGCATGCGTTCAATCTTGTTAGAAGCGCCAACAATGATACGGTCCTTAATCGACACAGACGGGGATAGATCCACACCCAAGACCTCCATGTCTTGTTGCTTCTCTATCGACATCTCGCCCGGTCTCCATTTACATTAACCATGGTTCTTTTCCACGATAGCAATTATAACCAACCGTGCTCCGGTATCCACCTATATCTCGCGGGTAACAGGAAATCACCCAACTTCTACCAGTCTAAGCATGGCTAAGCATATATTTGATCCTAGACCTATACCGGTTAAAGGTGTAATAGCTAGACAAGGAATGTATATGCATCAAGTGGTTCCATTCAACTCTTATAACCTAATGCATCAATCATAAGTACTTAAGTAATCATTTGTAAAATACTGGGAGACTTAGAATGCTCCGGGGCTTGCCTTGCAGAAAGGAAGTAGGGCGGTGATCAGGGCACTCCGGAAGCTCTTCAGGATTCTGCTCCTCGCCTTCGGGAGCTGCGGCTTGAGGATTCTCCTGCTGGTCCCCTTCCTCTTCTTCGTCGAATTCCAGCAACGTTATTTATTCCTCAAATCCTAGATGCATGAATATGGCATAAGTATTATGAATGCATATATGTTATCAAGTGCATCATGTTTATTGAGTAGGTGCATATCTCTTCTCGATTATTTAATTACTACTTCCACTATGCATCTACTATATCACAAAACAGCAGCTACTTGTTTTACTCATAACAGGAGTTCTACTAATCCAAATGCAGTGATCCTAGACTTTCTAGAAAGCTTATCAAATTATCTACAACTTTGTTATTAACCATTTTTATAGCAAACATCATCTTCAACATGCAACTCATTAAACTCCAGAATCTGTCCGGAAACTATTCAATTCGCAATACAAAGTAACAATACTTCTACTTCATGTAATCAGTCAAAATTTGACAACATAAAGTCTACCAACAGTTTAAGCATACCAAATACATTTAAGATAATATAATGGTGAAGCCCAAACTATTTATTAAAATGCCTTTATTATTTTACTTAGATATTTAGGTTAAATAATAAACATATACCAGATCTACTTCATAAATTCTCAAAAATTTACAGTGCCTTACTAATGCTATCAAAGGACTACTGTAAAAGTTTCATGCCATTTTATTCAATAAAACACTCTATACAAAAATGACAAGACAGAAAGGCTTACAATAGCAAAAATAGAAAACCCTAGTGAAAAGTGTCAAGCAACAGATTTCCTATTTTTCTTAGCATCCATATGGTAATAGGATTACCTCCAACAAATTTCATGAATTTTGGATTCATAAATAATTTATAAAAATTCATACAAGGATTAACTATTCATAAAAGAAAAATCTATAACTATAAATCTACACATGCACTGATCCTCAAATTTTTACCAGAGTTCATATATGACAAGAATAGCTTACCACAAAAATTTCATAATTTTTGGAGCACATGAACTCTAGATATAAAATAAACAAATTTGTATGCATTCAAAAGCACATTTCAAATTTCTATTTAAATCTCCAAAAATTTCTACTGCAAATGTTAAGAACATATTTTTCCTAAATACTACACTTCCTAAGGAACACTAACAAATTTATTTCACAATTTTTGAAGCTACCAAACTGAAGATACAAAAATTACAAAACAACACCAGATCTGGATTTAAATGAACTAGCCTATTCTACTCCTGTCGCTGACCGGTGGGACCCGCTGGTCAGCAGGGCCCGCCTGTTAGTGAAACCAAAACAGAGCCGGCGGTGCTGAGCAAGCTTGCGCGGCCACGGCTCATCGACGGCGAGTCCGCTGGCGGTGACGTCTACGCGGTATGACCTACTTGACCGGGCGCATGCGTTGGGCTAGCTAGGTGAGCGGATGACTGGCGCGAAGGTTGACGGCGTCGGCCATGGTGGCACGGCGGAGCGGGATGAAGGCGCTACGTCGGTGGAGGCCACGGTGAAGCAAGCTCAAGCGCTGACGAGCTTCTACGGACTCAGGCGAACCTAGCGCACAAGAAATCGCAGCAAGAGGTGGACGGTGGCCTTCCAGCCGTGGTGACAGACTTGGCGGTGGAGCTCCGGTGAGCTTGCGCACGACGCTGGCGCTTACCGAGTGCTATCAGCGGGCACGGGAGGAGGCAGTGGGTTGCTGGGGTGGCGGTGGAGTGCTGCGGTGGTGATGGAGTGGCTAGGCGCTAGCTTATACCGTCAAAGGCTGACGGCGGCGGCCATGGGGAGCTTCGGGTGTGCTTATGGTCTTGTCAGAGACGGCGAAGGAGGAGGGGAAACGAAAATGGGGCGCTGGATGGCTCGGGCGGTATTTGGCGGTGTTAAAGGCTCGTGACTGGGCTGCTTCGCCACGGTGGGGGCGGCGGTGGTGGTGACAGCGGCCGTCATGCCACCACGCTGCGCGCTGCTGAGTTCTGCCGATGTCGGCCATCGACGGCGGCGATTCATTTCGATTCGGTCAGCAGATTAGCTCGACAAAGAAGAATTGACGATTTATTTAACAACTAATCCAGTACTCCAACGTGCAAACACTTTAAACCAAAATGATAAACCAATGTACCAGCTACAATTACTCTTAAGGAATCATGTGCAAATTCGCAACCATTACTGAGAAAAATCAATCCAAAGTCG